CTTACAAAGATTAACCAACCTGCATATTAGTAACAGAATAATTAATAGCATAGTATTAATAACTGACTCCATAAATAATTTCAGCTGCCTTGATTGAGTTACGGATTTTTTTTTTCACTGAGTACTGATGAGGGGGAAAAAAAAAAGGATTTAACTTAAGCAAATGATCCTTCAAATGAAGGATTACTGTGTAGAGAGCGTGAGTATCATATCAGATGCTTCGGAAATTTAGACGGGCACATGGTCCTTGTTTGGACCATAGCACCTTGCCCAAGGACAGAAACACACAGTCCATCTAGATGTACTGTAAGCTTGAGGTAGTAAAGTCATCCTTGTGCATTCATTACTAGAGGAGACCATCTTAAAAATAATTACCTGGTTAGAACATTGTCTTCCTACTCTCTGTTGATGGAATCATGAAGTCTTTAGGAAAGCTGAATTGTATTAATCTGCAAGGTAAAACTGAAACTGATCCCTTCTGTGTGCAAATAATCTTGCTATCAGTGCAGTTGCCATGACAGAAAAAACTTCACCTAGAAATAAAGCACTTAAAATATGCTCTTATTAAAATGGGGAAAAATATTCTTTATAAATAACTCTAAAAAAAATATGCAAGCACAGACAGGTTAAACGTTGTCACTACCATGTTGAACTGGAATACTTCAGTCTGTTAGCTAATTCTCTGTGTATAATTGCTTAACCTATTTGGTCTTCCTGTAAATTCCTCAAGATAAGATTCTGCCTGAGCTTCAGGTCAAGTGGGTGTGCAAACATATGTTTATATAAAGGCTCCACTTGATTGTGAGGGCAGGTGGCACAGTCCCCTGAAAAGGAGTTTAAAACGTCCATGTCCCCCACCTTCTCTAGTGCTATAAAGAGATCTTTGTCCAGAACACACTTGTTCTAATTCCACCTTCCTTCCTTGTCAGCTGTGGCTTGCCACACTGTATAATCACTGGATGATTCATGGCTTTGCAGCAATAAAGCACTAAGAGACCAACTAAATTTCAGAAGCATCTAAGTAGCAGGGAGGGAAAATTCCCTGAGATCGTCAGCCTGCAGTATATAACTGCCTTCATTATTATCAGGTCGACTTTGTGAATCCTCTCATACAGCTTCACATGGCTAAGAGTATCCATAAGCACAGTTAATTCCTGTACAGTATCCATGGAATTATGTGCATGCACAGCACTTGTTTTTCTTGGACACATTGAGCTGATCTGGTCATATTGTACCCAAATCCAAACACAGGCTGAGAAGCAGCTGTGCCCCCTGGCTTGGGTGCACAAGTGCCTCTTTCCAGTGCACAAATCATGAAGTTTTGGTGAAAGTGCAGTTTAAAACAAAAGCCATCCTGCTTGACACTATACAGAGGAAATATTTCCAAGCAATATTCAAGGACTGGGGTGCACTGAAGCAAGGGCTGGGATTGTTCCTCAAGTGGCCCCTTAGATATCCCACTTGTATAAGCTCTGACTTACACAAGAGTTTCCTCCACCGAGTACCTGGTAATCTGAAGCAGAGAATTAACCAGTGATGTACGTGATTCTGTTGTAGTTTATACAAAACCCTGTATCCTTGAGCAGTCAGATATGAAACAAGAAGTAACACCTTTGTTTGCCTCTGTAAACCCTTTCCCTTTCAGTGGACTGCCTGAAAAAAAAGCTTTTTTTCCCCCTAGCTTTTCCTGAGGGAGGTGTTTCAAAAGCTTGCTCAGAGTTTGTTTGGCGTTTTGTTTTTCCTTCCTCTCAGTTCTAAGGTGTTTCTGCTTCTTTCATGATACATAACTTCTGACAAAAAATAGCCAGGAAAAACATTCCCATACATGCGTCTGGTCTGTACTTTTATTTTAAGAGGTGATATATACTAGTGTTTTGGGCAGATGTTCCCTTTTCCCCCTCCAGTTATCCAATTCTGTTAAGACACTAACTTGAGAGTATCTCAAATAACAAGCATTGGTTGTACCTTCCAAGTCTGACCTAGCCTGTAAAAATAGTAAGGTTTTGAGCCATGAGAATAACTAAGGAAACCAGATAATTATAATACAGATTTTATAATAGCAAGCATAGGTCTTTGAACCTGAATTAAGACACGTACTATACATGGCAGCCCAGAACAGATAGATATTCCTGACTGTGAAATAAATACATATATTCAATTTTATTCTATAAAAGCCTATTCTCTCTTCAGTGACTGGAACAGCTGTTTCAAGACAATTCCATACTTAGATGCATGCCAATGTATTTCAAATACAATAAGAAAATGGAGAAACTAAATCATATGCAGTTAGTTAAATATAACAATACAAGTTCTGGGTGTAAGAGAAGCTTAGATGCACTGATGTATGTGCATAAAAGGAATGAGTCTTCTGCTTCTGCTTTTATCCTTTGTGATAAAAAAAAATGTCCCCAGATAAGGCTACATGACAGAATGCAGGAATACAGCTGTGACCTTACTTTTGCTTAGTGATGGATGGACCACATGAATTGAAGATCACCTGAAAGGTAACAGGGCATCTTCCTTTAAAATGTAGACAAGAAAACCACTCAAGGCACAGAATGTCTGTAGGTTCCTTGCCTTTCAATACTGATAATCTGCTTCTCAGTATCCTCAAAGTTACCAGGTAACACCACACACCTTTGGGAGACATCAGATTCCTCTTATATACCATCTTACCATGATAGGACTTCTCAAAGATTGTATGGCAAAATAGCAGACAAGGGACAGTGCCCCATTAATTCCCAGCCTCAAACACTGTACAACAGCTTTGCCATGCCAACAAGTTCTTACTTAACCATAAAAATTAAAGATAAAAGATAGGAGGCTGCATGCCATGTGTTAATGAGGGAAATCAAGAATTACTTCAAAGGTTACCACAAATTATTTAAGGGAAGGACTTTGATACAACAATGCTAAATATTTATGATGTTTCAGAAAATAGCTATTAATGGTAATGCACCAGAACAATTGCATACTGATCAGTAGAACAACATTATACCATCACAGTGGAAAAGAGACAATTTTTCTTTCACTGTTGCACAGTATGTGAAAGTTATTCAGAAAGTAAAGCTGTGAAATTAAACTCATGCAGCTCACTGAACATTTAAATAAAATTATATGTAAATTACAAAAGCAGAAATATCTATTGTAAGTGTAGTATTTAAGAAATGAATTACATTCAAGTACATTTTTAGTTCCAACTCTTTCGTGCAACATAAGACTGGCCTTTTTATTTATATTCACATTCAACTCGACGTGGCTGTGCTTGTTTCTTTAGGACATGACTTAAAGAAGAGACATTCCTTATTTTAAGGCTGGCATCACTCAAGACCAGACTGAGCATTAAGTAAAGTAATAACATAGTTCTCTATCAATAAAGAAATAAAAAAATGGGGCCAAAATAAGGGAAATAAATAGGATCATTGAAGTATCTAAGCTATATGAGTTACAAGACTGCTAATTAAAAACAGATACTTATGTGGGAATAGGGTCTGGTGCACAGAAAAATTACACAGCAATAGCAGCACTTCAAGGCAGTGGACACTACATCTAAAACCACAGTATGATTTGCCACGTGCATTAAATGAGATCATCTTAGCATTTAGATTGCCAGTCTAAGATACCTGATTATTCCTACTGGATGAAAAAAACAAGTTTCTTGACAGAACAGCTCAAGCATTCTCAGAAACACAGTAAAATTAAAATCAAAGGAGCAAGCTTTGGAAAGCTACAGGAGGCCCAGAAATACCATTAGGAAGAGGATATGGTGTTTTCAGGAGAAACTGAGAAGAAAAAAACCAGAATTGGGCAGGACTAGGAAAGACCACAAAACACTGGTGCCCTCTTAACCATCAATTTGTACCTCCGTGATTCTCCACAGGGCTGAATCACCAAAGCTACATCTCTTGTAGAGAGATGTAGAGCTGGTCAACTTTTGGTGTGGGGGATAAAAAATACAGAGACCCTGTCCTGGTGAATATGTAAGTGGCTGCTCTCCATCAGCAGAGGCAGTGCCCCTGCCTGCAGCCAGGTGGGCTTCCTTGAGTCAATTATTTGCTTCTTACCTTCATAATTAAAGAAAAGCTATACCCCTACTTTTCTCAAATCATTGGAAATGGGCAGTCAGTACCACTTGTGTTTTAGTTTATGAAGAGTACAGCCTGTGTCTGTGATGGCTGAGCACTCTCAAGGTGCTCACCTTAGGCGTTAGGCAGAAATGAAGAGCAAAACTGTAACTTGTGCTATGGGACAGCTACCTAGTCTCTTCACTCATTCTCCCAATATGCTTATTGCACGAACCCAAGAGCAAAAATGGGTTTTGTAATTACTTATTTCTGTTTGGGTTTTTTTGTAGATAATGTTTGTAGCAGGTTTTGAGCAAAGGAGTGGTTTGCATTCTCATTATGCTTCACTGGTTTTGCCCAACAAGATTATTTCTATAACGTGTTTAAAAACTGTGTTGTAAAAGCAGGATTTAAAAAGTGTTTTTATGCACTAATCTCTGAGGCTGATTTCTGCCTCTCTTCAGGAGCTAACTTGAATGTATTTCATTATGTTAAAACAAACTTAATTTTAAATTCTGAAATAAACAATCAATACCTCTCCTACATTTCTAGATTATAACAATAACGGTCTGTTGACAGAGAAGTATTAAGACTGAACTGTTTCTCTGGTGAGGTGTTAAGAAACGATAGGCTTTAAAAAATTATAGACTTGAAGGTATAAAAGCAGTATTTTTTTACAGTAAGAGACAAATACAGATTACACAATCTTCTGTTTTCTAGAATTTTTTTTTCTACAGTGCTCTGAAATGCAAACATACAGATGTTTCATGATATGTTATCTGATGGGCAGTAATTGTCAGTAACCATGAAGCTACTATAGCATTTTCCTGAAATGTTGTTTCTGCTATAATTGATTATCTTTTAAAACATCCTTGCTTTTTTTTCATTCCTTTTAGGTCAATACAAATTCTTGAAGCTGAAGGAAAAGGTGAAATTCTACCTCCCACTATACAAAAAATAATAAAAGGATACAACAAGTATCTACGTCCATTTTTTGATAGTGAGTAGAAAAGCTGATGTAATTAGTTTGAGCTATAACATGCAGTGTCTGAAACTCAGCAATGAGAACAAACGTTTGTTGCACTGTACTTTTTTTCTCCAATGTTTGACAGCAACTGATCTGATTATACATGATGTACTATGATATAAGATACAGCGTAACAGTTTTTGTGGCCCAAGGTGAAACATATAGTCCAGGCATTCACAAACAAAGCTTCCAGACTCTGCTAGAAATTTGCTAGAAATATACAGAATATAAGCCATAGAAATATGGCTACTGATATTTATGCGTCCTTAGTGAAGGACTGAGTCATGGACAATAGCTTACCTATTTAAAAGCATAGTTCCCTCCAATTTCCTAAATAATAAGTATAAAAGATTTTAAGAAAGCTTTACATATCAAATTATTCATAAAAACACAGGAAAATCTTGTTCCTGTATCAAGCATTATGTGTATCTACTATGAGATTGCAAGAGAATTATTTAATAAATGCTTCTTGCCTTGGATCTTAAAGATCACTGAACTGATTCACTGCAGAACTGTGAGGAAGATGACTCAAAAATGTCAGTTCCCTGTGCCAGAGGGCCATGGTCACCAGGTTGAAAGACCCACAAAATCTACTGCACTAAGGCTGCTATTACTGTCCTGCAGTGCAGTCAGCACAGTCAACTGAATTTCAGTGACAAAAATCTTCCTTGCTTGAATCAGGCTATGGCATGTGTCAGAAACACAAGGAGTTACAAGTGAAAATCTCTGCCTGGAGTAACAGCAGAATACTGAAAAATAAAATATTCTGTGTTGAAAAGATGCTCAGCACCACCTGTCTGTCAGAAAATAAACTGACAGAGTGAATGCTAAGCAATGGTTCTTAAGTTAGATATTCAAAAATGCTAGAGGTTTCAAATGAAGACTTTAACATCCCTTTATATCTTGTTTAAAAATGATTGAATAAAGTTTCTCAGACTATACTGTTATGCCTTGCCATCCAAATACCTGGTGAGACTCTCAGCCTTTTTAATAAGGTCACTCCATGTGCAATTTCTGAATCCATTTCATAAAAATATTAAGATAAACCTGTATTTTAGGTTTAGGAGAAAGGGAGAACTGTTTCATTTGTTTGGTGTTGTAATTGTCTCATCTGCTGATATGACTGGTATGAAGAATTTACATGGTCTAAGAAGATTTTCAGCAAAATAGAAGTAATGCTAAGAAGTAAACTGACACCTTCTCATTGAAGATGATGCATAATGGAAAATGCCCATATGCTCACTGGCCATTTATGTATTTCATTCATTACTTCATGCTAGTACTAGAGTTATGTTGCCACTGGCATGATGGATGTTCTTTAGTAGACAGCAAACAGAATTTCATTGCAAAATCCTAAAAAAAAGAGTAAAAAACTCCTAAAAAAGTAAGGTACTTTTGGGTTATAAATCTCACTGTTACAAAGTAAGCAAATTTTTTTCTCAGCTGTTGTTATGCAGCAAGGCTATAGCTCTTTTTCTGCCTGGGACTTTTGTTCAGAGGAATTCTAAGGACTTTCTCTGTTTCCCTTGAAATCCCAGAGGAGCTCAAGCACAGATCAAGTCTATGTCATACGCAGAGCCAGTGTGGCACTTCCAGACAACAAGCATTTCTGCATATGCTTGCCACAGCTCAGACATGCAAACACTGTGCCTCAGAAATATTTGATAGATCTGTATTAGCCTTACTACTGAAGGAATGGCATGAGATTCTAAAAAATGCATTTTATTATTCTTAGTAGTGTTGGTGGTTTTGTGAGAAATGACTCCTGTAGGAATAGTTTATGTTAGGATGACCCAGGAAGCATTAATCCTAATTTTTGGCTTTTTGCAAGATCATTTGGGATCATTTTCCATGTGATAGAGGCAGGTATGCTTGGGGTGGGGTGTGATGTCTGTCCAGCCTCATCTCTGTTACTGGCAAGGTGAGCTGCAGCTTGGATGAGGTTCAGGTCCAGGAGAACCTATTGCTCTTCTCATAAGCCGAGCTAGTAAACCACCTAAATCCTCAGCTTATAATCAGTAGATTATACTGATTTGTGTGACTACAGATATCCTAGCTTTGTTCCATGTAATATTTTCCTTATTTCCATGGATAATATCTGCCTGCAGCTGGTGTACCTCATGTCTGTTCTTTGTGAAAAAGATTTTGCTTTACTCAGAATCATATCAGCGGCTACAGCACACCTGCTAAATAGTTGATGAAGCCAGAGTATCAATTTAGTCATTCATACCTCTTCTTTCACTTTTTTTGCTTTATTTTATTTTCAAAAGTTTGCATATTTCTGTTTATTTGTGTGGTCAGTTAGATATCCATTCATAAATATGCATGAAGAAATGTTATAAAATTAGATGGTATTATTTGTTGTCATTTACAGTGCATTGAGCTTAATGTTATCTGGTCACAATGGAACACTGAAATGTGATTTTTATCAAGTATGAGAGAGCCAGAGGTTAGCTTGAATTTTAGAATGCTAATTCAAAGTAATTTCAAAGTTATTAGTCCTTGAAGTTTTTCTTCAGGAAGGAAATGGGGAATTATGAAGTGAGGTTTGCTGCCAAGATACAATCATACTCTTGGAAAATTGGTGACACTGAACTTAATATTGAGCAAAATGGGGGTATTTTTGATCCTAAAAAGAAAGCATTAGGTGTAAATAAATTGTCATAAATTCAAAGTTCCTTTTTCCTAAAACCAGGGGAAACAGTAATATTTAATAGTCAGGGAACTTTTATGGCAGCTCTTAAGTTCTTAGTTTAATAAGCCCTCCATTTGCTTGTTTGTATGTGTTTAGTAATTGTGCTGAGACTGGCAGATGACTGGAAATTACCTAAGCAGACAGAGTTCAGCTTGTGTCATTAATGAGGAGATATTTTTCATTTGAATCCAGTGACTGTGCACAACAACATAAAAATTGTCTTCTCTCCTTGCATGTGTTGGAGCTAACAGATTTCTAGTCTTTAGGACTGAGTGAATCTCACCTTACTTTAGTCATCTCCTTCCCCAGAGGTCACTGCTCCAGACCCATGATGTTTGCTCTCTGAACGCTGCCATTTATGCCCAATCCCATCTCTAGGCACCTAAACTAGGTGCCTGAAGTTAAATCAGTTGAAACTAGTCTTAGGATGTCGAAGGCTTGCAGACAAGTAAAATTGACTGAATGTTTTATGTTTGCCCATGATGGGTGGCATGAACCAGCTACCAAATTATGGGGGTGCTTTTACAGAGGAGCTGGGACAGAGGAATCCCAGCTGGAATGGCTTAGTGTCTCTGCCCTCATCTGGATATTACTATTAAGAGTGTTCTCTTTCCTTAACTATAGCATTTTAATGTACCTCTTTGAGATGGTTCATCAAGCAAGTCTTAATAAACTGAACAGATAGACCTGTGAAGTTCCATTAATGAATTAAAAAATTACCTAACCTAGAATGATTTTAGCCACTCTTTGGACTGGAATATGATACATTAGTGTTAGTAGGTAGTATTCCTTAATGTAATAATATCCTAGACTTTTAGATAGGCATGAAAGTCTTCTATAGAAAAGCTGACATAAGGGATTTAAAAATGCAGTTATTTCCCTTAAAAGTGCTACATAACCCTGACACTTTATCTCAGCAATACAAGCTGATTTCAACATCAGGTTTTCTGCTGAAACTGTGTAGACCAATTTTATAACTTTAGGTGCTGTGCCAAACCTCTTTGAATTAATGAGCAATT